TGAGCTGCATGCAATAGTGAAGGGTAAAACGACTTCACGTGAGTTGGTTGAGGGCCTATGCTCCTGTGGGGGATAGAAGGCAGAAGAGAAGATGAAATGGTTTGACCATCAGACAAGAATACCTTAGTACCAACTACAATGACTATCTCATAAAGAATAACACTGAAACCAACTGCCCCAAAAAGAATTTTTCAATTAAGCAGCTCTTTAGATAATCTTCTTCTCCTTCTTTTCATTCAGCATTCTGAGCCCCTTGGGGTTCATTGCAGTAACACCTGCCTCCATTCGTCTCTGGGATTAGTCTTCTCTTTCCAATTGGTGAATCCAAATGTTCGCAGGTCTGACTGTATATTATCTCTTCACAGTTTTCTTGGTTTGTTTCATGGTCTGTGGCTATTCAGCTCCCCCATGTACACAGTTTTTGTCTGTCTGTTATCTGTCTATATATGCTCCAGCCGTTTAAGTCTATTTGCCCGCATGATGCCAGTGATAAATGCTGATTTAAATAGATTTTGAATTTCAAAATTGCTTCTCATTCTCCGTTCCCCACTGTTCGTATCTTTGTAAGACAGATCCTCACAGCCTAAAATAGGCACCAGGAAATATTATGGGAAGTAAAGGCAGTCGACAGGATTTTTACCACATCATCATCAAGTGCTGATTGGTCTGTAAAAATATACGTCCAGATCTTTATGCCTGTTACGTCAATAGTGAAGTGCCTTTTCTGTTTAGGAAAACAAACATTTCTTTTAACTATTGCAGCATGCCCTCAGGAAGGAAAATGAATTCTTAGTTTTTACTGTTTATGTTGTGAAACCTCTGTTTTATGGCTCTACATATATTGACTTGTTTTGCATCCAGTAGTCATCTATCTGTGTGATATTGTAATGTTCACCTTTCAGAGATGGCGCTGTTGTGTTATTCACTCTGTTGTTGTTTTATTTTAAGTTTCAGTGGTAAGTGTATCTTTGTTCTCATTGCATGAAGCAAGCGGACTGTCCAATGTGTATTCTTCTTCCTGATAAAACTAGTATATATTCCCCTTGATGGCTGAGTCAGTATGTATTCCCCTTAATGGCTGAGCCAATATCTATTCCTCTTGAGGACTGTCCAGTATCTATTTCCCTTGATGGCTGAGCCAGTATCTATTCCCCTTGATGGCTGAGTCAGTATGTATTTCCCTTCATGGCTGAGCCATTATCTATTCCCCTTGATGGCTGAGCCATTATCTATTCCACTTGATGGCTGAACCAGTATCTGTTCCCCTTGATGGCTGCACCAGTATCTGTTCCACTTGATAGAGTAACCAGTATCTGTTCCACTTGATGGAGTAACCAGTATCTGTTCCCTTAATGGCTGAGCCATTATTTATTCCTCTTGATGGCTGAGCCAGTATCTGTTTCCCCTAATGGCTGAGCCAGTATCAGTTTCCCTTGATGGCTGAGCATGTATGTTCCCCTTGATGGCTGCACCAGTATCTGTTCCACTTGATAGAGTAACCAGTATCTGTTCCCCTTGATGGCTGCACCAGTATCTGTTCCACTTAATGGAGTAACCAGTATCTGTTACACTTGATGTAGTAATCAGTATCTGTTCCCCTAATGGCTGAGCCAGTATCAGTTCCCCCTTGATAACAGAATCTCTATCTATTCCCTTTGATGACAGAATCCCAAACATTTCAAAATAAAACTTTAAATTTGTTAAATGTTCTATTTATATTTCTTCATTGCGTGTTTTTTCCCCTCTGTGTGTATTTATCTTTAGCTGACAAGGCATGAAATAAACCTGAAATGGTCTCTTCTGAGATTAGGCAGCCAAATTTAAGAAAAACATTTACTTGTTGTTTCCTTCCAACATATTGTTCCTTTGTGTGTGCTTTTATTTGTTCCTGCATTTGTTAAAATTTTATTTAATTGAATCTAGAGTTAGGAGCATCTCTCATATTCTGATGACATATAAGAAGAGACCTTTAAATATCTACCATATTGTCCGGCATTATATGAAGTTAGTGCTGTTTTACCAAGAACCAAACCTGTCCAGACAAAGTACTCTTATTTATATTCAGATCAATGCTTTCCCTTTGTGAATTTAATGTTGAGACAAAAAGTATATATTTGATTTCACAGTTTATTGCCCGACATATTTTGCTGTAATGAAATTTGTTTCATAATATCATAATGTGATTTCTTAAGTAAGAGGGGACTTTAATCGAAAACCTCAAAAGTGAGATGGAAATTACAAAAACCCTACAGGTTATCGTGTAACCTGTCAGTATTGTTGTTATGGATGTCAAGAGTGTTAAGCCTGTGACATCACAGTTCATGGGAACATGGTGACATCATATGACAGCTTAAAGATGGCCACCCAACTTTTTTGACATGAAACAAAGAAGAGCAGTGTTCTGTTATCCATTTTATTTTTAATCAATGAAGGGGTGAAACCAATAGAAACTTATCAGTTAATGAATTGAAGCCACCTCTTTTCACCTGAAGAAATGAAGCAAAACATGTTGTGCATTTAGTTATGCATTGTATTGGCTTAGCTTGGCTTGCTTTGCGGTTTAAAAAAAATTGTTACATTCAAACAGCATCCCCGAGGGGGAGATTTTAGTTATAATTGTGACTAGGTTATGTGTGCTATATAAAATGGCTTAGCATTGCTCACCACCAGGTAGCTCTGAAAAGAACTCTTGCAGTGTTGAATCTATCAAAAGAGACAGACCCAAATGCTGTCATGACCGGTGGCGAATCCATCTACCGGCCAGTCAGTGGGCAACAGTGTTGCCACTTTTCTTTGGCAAAAAACATCCAAAATGGAGTCAAAAAATATCTAAAAACAGCTAAATTGTGTGGAAAAAAATCTAGAAAAAACATCCAGAATGGAAAGAGTCACATATACACAGCAATTGATGTGACTTAGCCTATAGAATCATGTCCTTATCTTTACTGAAGTCTGCCTTACAAGATCCACAGGATAAACTTAGCTTGGATGATGAAGTTGAAGCTTCAAATCCAAAATGACCCTGGTATGCTTTAGCTATTCCAATTTCTTTTAACACCCAATCAGGGAGCTAAGTGGAACAGCCTTTTCCTCTCTTATCAGGCAAAATTATATTGTCAAGATAGCAATTAGGAGGTCAAATTTCATCCTGTTTCTCAGGTTAGATTTGATAAATTCACTCTGAATAAGAAACATCTAGAAAAACATCTACCATCTAAACATCAAAAACGCCATCTTAATGCAAGGGAAAACATCTAAATCTGGATGTAAAACATCCAAAGTGACAACACTGGTGGGCAACCCGGTCTCAGTATTTAAATATTGTTGCTGTACTTACTGCTTAGTCATTGATAAAGGATCAGCAGCATTAAAAACTCCTTATCAGTTGGTTCATTTGTGGTACACTCATGTACTAGCACTACTTTGTTTATCTGCTGGAGGATAACACCAATCATTATGGAAATTTTTCCATTATACTGCAACCACTCCCCATGTTGATTCTGGGGCTCCATTGTGGGGGGAAAACAAGAAGAGCGCCACTGCCTCTCCAACAAGCATGTCGTAAGAGTTGACTAATTAGGGGCTTCCTCCGATGTTAGAGCACCTGCCTAAACCAACAGTTTGCCTGCAGATGAGTCAGACCTGTAAAACAGATATGCATGCAACACTCGGGGTCTGGAACAGGATTATAGTCCAGAAATGGACGAAAAACCAGAACGTTCTACCAGAGTTTACAGTCGTTGAATGCAAAGAAAAAGCAAGACCCTGACTACATCTGTTCCACGATTACTCTTTTACATAAGTTTTTCTTAATTCCTTCAACTTCATCCATGTGGCCCTGTGGTTCGGAGGTTAGTGAACGAGTTTAACATTTAATGATTTCAGGTTCTAATATTTGATTTCTTGGGCAGATGGTTTGTTGAAAAAAAAGAATCAAATTTTCTGATGAGAATATTCTTCCATTGTTTATTTACTGGAGGAAGATCTGTCATTACATAAATGATTTGTTTTTTAAGTCATGGTTGATATACTCCCTATTTTAACTTCAGACCCCACCCTTCTACGCTGAGTATGTTAGGTAAAGCACCCTTTCCACACCTTTAGCACAGAGGCTGTATGATGCTGTACTTATATATCTGTAGACCAGTTGGCACTCGATGGGGGATGCGGTCAACATTGTGCTGCCAAGCCAGCCTGGGAGCCAAGTTTTCCTTTGTGAAAACAAAAAATCCATCTCACTGTGGTTTTGAAAACAACACCTTCAGTTTGGCCTCACTCCCTGCAGTCATGCCATAGCATCTAACATTTTCTCTCCTGGTCTCTACACATTGGTCTCTAGCAATTAATCCACTCCACCTGTGAGCAAGGAGCTAAATATACATGCACAAGAAAAGAGGACAGTCTTGCTGGAACTTTCTCTTCCTTGACAAAACCCACAACAACAAGCACATCTGATTTTTCTTGCTTGTCTCCGTACATTGTTCCCCGTTCTTGTATTACCTTGACTAGCAATCCCCCCCCCCCACCCCCACTCCCACTCCCTCAGTTTTTGTCATTGGTCCCTATGCTTCCTGTAAAAGATTAAGTCCACTTTGCGCCCCCCCCCCCCACCCCCCTTTCCCCACCAACTAGCATGTCATAAAAGATTACTAATTAGAGGATTATCCCTGCGAAGATGGATTGCATCCTCCTGAGAGGCAATTAATCAACAGTCTGCATACTAATAAGCCAGATCTGTAAAACAAATGTGCACACAAAACTCAAGTTCTGGAACAAGACTAAAAGTCAAGAAGTGATCGGACAACCTGAACTTTCCGCCAGAGTTGTCAGCCGCTGAACGCTATGAAGAAGAACAAGAAAATTAGGGATTTGATGGAAGAAGTGCGAGGACTGTCGTTATAGTTACTGGATTATTTCCATTCTCAAAACAGAAACATTAATTTTGTGTGTGTGCATTTTAATCAGAAATTTGCTTCTGTTTTCATCCTCTGTACCCCCAGTCGCAAAGCCAGTGGTTCACGCCCTTCCTCTGGAGTGTCCAGTGCTTACTCTTCACCATCTTACAGCTACCCTGACATCAGTGCCTTTCCCGAGCTCAGAGGAGATATTGATGATGACAAGCTATATGTTGATCTTGTATGTTTATTGTAGTTTTTGTGTGTGTATTTATGTGTACTGTTCGGTCAAGGAAAAAATATCAGAGCTTTTGAACTGAAATGCTACAGAAATCTGCAGGGTAGTTAGTTATAAGGAATGGCATCAAGCAATTTTGAAAGTAGGTGCATTTGTACTTACTTAACTTTTTACTTTTTCCTTCCACGTATGCCGCTAAGCGTTGTGGGGAGATGCAAGTTCCTGTCATAAGCAAGGCGGGCAGCATCTGATGTTCTGAGGCCATGCTTTTGGCAGGTTTCGGAGACCCCGTCAATCCACCGTTTCCTTGGTCTTCCTTATATCCTGAGCTTCTTTGGTTGAAAATTTGTGATGTTATTTGGTCATTTTTCATCCTGGTTAGATGTCCAAACCATTTCATTCTTTGATGTTCTATGTAGTCTAAACATGGTGTAGTTTTGACAGTGTTTCTAATGTCTATGTTCTTTATCCTGTCTAGTCTGGTCTTATTCGCTGCTTTTCTTAGACATTTCATTTCACAGGCTTCTATTTTTCTTTCATGGGTCTTGTTGATTGTCCATGTCTGGCACTGGTAGCAGAGTGTTGGAATGAAGATGGTGTTTATCAATTGTCTTTTGGTCTTCATGGTTATATCTGGATGTTTAAGCAGAGGTGATAGTTGGTATGTGACAGCATTTGCTTTCTGTATTCTTGTTTCTATCTCTCTGTCCATTCTTCCATCCTCTGTAAATATACTGCCCAAGTATTTGAACTCTTTGGTTTGCTTGATTTTGGCACTTCCAACATTTATATTCAGTGGCCTGTGTGTTCTGCTGATCTTCATAACTTCTGTTTTTTCTGTACTGATTCTCATATTATGTTGTAAACAGCTGTTGTTGAGAGTAGTCAGATGTTCCTGTAGATCATATTCATTTTGATACAGTATGCTTTGATCATCAGCAAAAAGTAATTCGTTTATAGCATACACGTCTGGGTTTGCTTCTACAGTGATCTTATCCATGTATGTTATGAAAAGTAATGGTGACAGTACACATCCTTGTCTGACACCAGTTGTGACTTTGAACCATTCAGAAAGACCACTAGATGTTCTTACTGCACTTTCACTTTTTTCATAGAGGGCTCTGATGTTGTTTATTAATTGACCCTGCACTCCGTAATCGTCAAGAATTCTCCACAGCACATCTCTGTCCACACGGTCGAATGCCTTCTCTTGATCTACAAAGACCACGTTCAGCTCTTTATCGTATTCGAGTGTCTTTTCACAGACTTGTCTTAGTGCAAATTTGGCATCAGTGCAACCTCGCCCTTTCCTGAAACCGAATTGTGCTTTACTCAGTAGAGGTTCAACCTTTGCTCTTATCCTACCTTCTAAGATCTTTGCATACATTTTCCCCACATGACTTAGTAAAGATATTCCTCTATAAGTTCCACATTCTCTCTTGTTTCCTTTTTTCTTCCAGATGGGTACTACAACTGATCTTTGCCAATCCACTGGTACCTTTCTCTCTGCCCATGCTCTATTGAAAATTCTCTCCAGCCAGGTGATCATAGTGTCCCCTCCAGCCTGGATGACTTCTGTTGTTATTCCGTCGATACCAGCTGCTTTGTGTCTTTTACTTGTTTTGATAACTTTCTCTACTTCATCCCGCAGGATATGTGGTTCTAGATGATCTGGAGCCCTTGAATGGAATTCTGCTGTTTCATGTACTCCCGACGGGTTCAAAAGTTCTTTAAAATATTCCTCCCATCTTTTTTTAATTTCTTTTTGGCTGAATAATGGTTTTCCATTTTTATCATTAATGACTGATGTTGGATTGAAGCTTTCTTCTCTTAATCGCATCGCTTTCACACTCTTATAAAAGTCTCTTGATGATTCTGTACATAGCTGTGTTAGGTGTTCACCATACTTTTTCCATGAATCCTCTTTGGATTTCTTTATTGTTCTCTTGGTGTCTCTTCGAGTTAGTCTGTACCTGATGTAATCCTTTTCGTCTTTTGTTTTTAACCATATTTGAAACATCTTCTTTTTATTTGACACTGCTTCTTTGACTTCTTCATTCCACCAAGCGGTACCCTTTTTCTTGCCTTTGCCCGTCTTTCTGGTACCACACTTGTCTTTTAATATCTTCGTGATGGTTGATTTATAATAATCCCATTCTTCTTCAATTCTTACTGGTTCCTTGGCAATATCTGCAAAAGCCTTTGTTATTTCTAGTTCAAATTCATGTTTGATATTCTCTTCCTCTAATTTCTTAGTGTTGATGATTTCTTCACGTTTCTGTTTATGTAGACTGTTTCTACTTGAGTTGCATATGTTCATAACTACTGGGCGATGGTCTGAATCCAGTCCCGCATTTGGGACAGCTTTTGAGTCTCTTACCTTCCTCTTCTGCCGTTGTCTGACTAGTATAAAATCAATTTGTGACGCTTGATCTAAGTTGTTCCACTTGTACCACGTTTTAACCTGACTTTGGCGATGTTGGTAGAATGTGTTGGTAATGTAGAGATCTTGTTCAGCACACAAGTTTAGCAGGTGTTCTCCATTTCTATTGCAATCTGTGGTTGTGTCGCTAAATGGGCCAAGGTATCTCTCCCATGGTGATCTTCTTTTACCTACCCTACCATTAAAGTGCATTTGTACTTGTAATAATCTACAATACTAATATTGTGGGGTTTTTTCCTCACTTTAATTATAATTTAAATTCAGGCACTTCATTATGGATAATTACCAGGTCGCTACTATCAAAACTAGGCAAGCGGTGTAGGGTAACTCTGCAGTGGGTACCATCCCACTGTGGAGTTCTTGGAAATGAGAGAGCTGATAAACTAGCTAAGGAAGAGACAAATGAAGAATAGCTTGACGTACCAGTCTCTTGTCAACAACAAAAAAAGAGAATAATAAAATCAATCAGAAAGGTACCAAAACTGGCACAAGATTATTGCCATATTATGGGCAGACCAGAGCAAGTCATTATTCTACGCCTCAGAACAGGGCACAGTCGACTTTGCTTAGACCAGACAGCTTGCTTCTTCTTCTTCATCTTTTCTCCTTCTTCTTCATCTTTTCTCCTTCTTCTTCTTAGCATTCATCGGCTGTAAACTCCTGACAGAAAGAGAAAGGTCTGGTTGTTTATCCACTTTTGGACCTTGGTCCTGTTCAGGAATTTGATTTTTGCATGCACACTGGTAATTTTTTTATATTGCAGACTATTGACTCCTCACCTCTGAGACAGATGGACTGAGACTTAAAAGGAAAACACCACTATTTGGTCACCTTATACGACTCACTTGTTGTTGGGGGGGGGGGGGGGGGGGGGAGGGAGTACAATTAGTTTACTTGTTTCCAATCCAAAATGGATCCCGGAACCCACACGCGGAAGTCATCACTCAGGCGGTGATGTGATCAACGTCTTGCCACATGCCTTTACTTCCCAGGACATTACCTGGTACTTACTTATGCTGGATCGACCTGGGAATCTCTGGTATAGCTACTATGCTGTCTCAGCAGCCATATTTCTATATGATGCTGTGTAATTAACATAGCAAAACCAACACAGCATTGTTGCAGTCAATTCTGAAATCTATTGTGTACACACATTCTGTGCTGCAGGAAGACGAGCAGATATATGGCAGGACCTCTGGAATCTACGTCAGCAAGTTTGACTCGGAGCCCCTGTACCAGTGGTACAGCAAGGACAAGGTGCTGCAGAACATGCGATCTGATAAATCCACTTCTGATGACCTATCCTCCGACGATGAATATCTGGAGGACAGGAAGCATTCAGGTAATCTTTTTTTTTTAAGGAAGTCTTCTCTTTAAGGTATTTCTCTTTCCTGAAGTTTTCTCTTGAAGGTATTCTTCTCTTTAAGGTAATCTTCTCTTTCAGGTAGTTTTCTCATTCAGGAAGTCTTCTCTTTCAGGAAGTCTTCTCTTTAAGATAGTCTTCTTTTTAAGGTAATCTTCTCTTTCCTGAAGTTTTCTCTTGAAGCTAGTCTTCTCTTTAAGGTAATCTTCTCTTTCAGGTAGTCTTCTTTTTCAGGTAGTCTTCTCTTTCAGGTAGTCTTCTCTTTCAGGTAGTCTTCTCTTTAAGGTAGTCTTCTCTTTAAGGTAGTCTTCTCTTTCAGGTAGTCTTCTCTTTAAGGTAGTCTTCTCTTTCAGGCAGTCTTCTCTTTCAGGCAGTCTTCTCTTTCAGGCAGTCTTCTCTTTCAGGCAGTCTTCTCTTTCAGGCAGTCTTCTCTTTCAGGAAGTCTTCTCTTTCAGGAAGTCTTCTCTTTCAGGCCGTCTTCTCTTTCAGGCATTCTTCTCTTTCAGGCATTCTTCTCTTTCAGGCAGTCTTCTCTTTCAGGCAGTCTTCTCTTTCAGGCAGTCTTCTCTTTCAGGAAGTCTTCTTTTTAGGGTAGTCTTCTCTTTAAGGTAGTCTTCTCTTTAATGTAGTCTTCTCTTTCAGGTATTCTCTTTCAGGCAGTCTTCTCTTTCAGGAAGTCTTCTCTTTCATGTAGTCTTCTCTTTAAGGTAGTCTTCTCTTTTAGGAAGTCTTCTCTTTCAGGTAGTCTTCTCATTCAGGTAGTCTTCCCTTTCAGGTAGTCTTCTCATTCAGGTAGTCTTCTCTTTTCAGGAAGTCTTCTTTTTAAGGAAGTCTTCTCTTTATGGTATTTTTTTTTTCCAGGCAGTCTTCTCTCTAAGGGGCTTTGCAGGCTTCTCTTGTCTTTGTGGTGATCTGCTTCAGCTGTGCCTGGCCCTGGCACTTGTGGGTCGTCAAGGAAATAAAAATGCAGCAGAATATACTGACTGATAAATCCACGTTTCATAACCTCTGCTCAAATGATGAATATCTGGAGGACAGGAGACACTGAGATAAACGTTTCTCATAGATTCCTTTCACCAGGAAAGTGAATCCAGTTGACAATTGCCCTGTGAAGTCAGATGTGTCAACCAAAAGGCCTGTACAGATATCACAGCTATGCTGTAAACAAGCACAGTGCAATTTACGCCACTCGAACAAATGATGCAGAAGAAGAAGGCTCCTTGTAAACTTCATCTTTTGTCGTGATCAGCTTTACTTTTCTGTCCAAATGGGTCATTAGAAGGACAGTCTGTTTGAGGTTTTCAGTTGTCTTTCCCACAAATTGTTAGCATCTGTGAGCTAGATTTTTAATGTGTACTTGCTTTGCAGCGTCTGTGGCTTAGGCGTTGCGAATGCGCTTCTTAATGCCGGGGTGCCAGGTTCGATCTTAGCTGCAGGTCTTGTGCCACTCCTTGGTTTCGACAGTGGTATCAAGAGCCGACTGTCCAGAAAGCGCTGGCAAACTGCGGTAGGTAAATTTGCCTAGAAAAACCACAACAGCCAATCAATGCTGGGGTTAGTTCTGCAACGTCCTATAAAGGATACACAACTAACTTTTTTAACTTGCTTTTACTATGACTGCAGATAGAAGTGGTATGACCAGACTAAAAAAAAAACAGATCAAAAGTAGTGAGGCCAGATAAAAAAAGCAGTAAGCCAAACAAGAATAATAAACCAACACAGAACAGGTGTCGTCAGTGTCATGAACCATCTTGGGGTTGAGAGTCAAGACATAGAAATAACCTTAAAGAAGACATGAAAATGACCTTGAAAAGACATAGAAATAACCTTGAAGTAGACATAATAATAACCTTAAAAAACGACATAGAAATAACCTTGAAGATAGAAATAACCTTGAAGAAGACATGAAAATAACCTTGAACAAGATGGAAATAACATTGAAGAAGACATAGAAATGATATTTAAGAGGATTTGGAAATAACCTTCAAGAAGGCATGGAAATAACCTTGAAGAAGACATAGAAATAACCTTCAAGAAGAAACAGAACCTGTAAAAAGCATATAACCTACAGTATGCAAATGAGCCATTGCAGATAATAAACTCATGGTCTTTCGAGGAAGAAACTCACCGGAAGATTAATGTGACTTGTTTCGGCCGCGATAGATGTAATTATAGCAGATATATTCCAGATGATCTATTTACTTGCTGCTTGCCCTGCTCCATTTGAGAACATTGAGTGTTATAAACTAACAGACAATGTATTGATTGGCACTCATAGAAAGAAGTAGAAAGACAGAAGAACACACTAGACAACATAAATAAAAGCTAAAGTTACTGTGCCTTTAGTGTGTGACAACTGATAACACCAGTTCTGTGTTAGTTTACTATTCTTCGTTAGCAACCTGTATAATGTTTATTTTTGGCAACACGTCTTTTGACCTGAAGTTCTTTTAGTCTTTTGAGTGTTGCCAATTCAACGTCGTCTCTTGAATCATCTTCTTGTCCTGTCACCTTGAGAGTATTGCTTTTGCTGTGTCTACCATGGCTCAGCCAGTAAGCCAATCCACTCGTTCATCCCCTCTTACCCCAGTGTGTCCTGGACTTCTGGGACAAGATGGCAGCGGTCATTGTTGCATTTTCTAACTACTACTAATTACTTATAACGAGAATGAATTGGTTTAAGATAATTGCAAAAGTAATAAAGGAAGTCTATTTTGTCCCCAAGATTTTTGCCGGTGTTACAGAGTTTTGTGCATCTGAGCTGAAACCATCTTGGTAATAGATAACTTTTAAGCTGGTGCACGAGCACAATGCAGAAGAAAACAGGAAACTGTAAGTGCTTGAGCTTGGTAGCCGTTTTCTAAAACTCAGGTTTATTTCTATCCTGCTAGAATCTGTGTATGAGGATGTTGAGAGACTGCTGGAAAAAACCAACGGTACAGGTGTCACCACCATCAAGAACACCACAGCAACAGGTGGGAAAAGTTCTGATGGCAAGGGGACTTCAAATGTCATCACCATCAGTTCCAAGGACAAGCCACAGAGACGTTCTGTCATAGAGGATGTGTTCAAGAACGGAGGCAGTCTTCATAGAGCACTGTGGTGTCAGATGCCAGAGGTAAAGTTAATGTACTTGATCTTTTAAATGTTGAAGAGTGAATGACATTAAATATTTTGCTTGCCTTCAGTTCCAGTACATCCTGATCCAAGAAGTATCTCTGTCAGGTCTGCTGCATCTAGTCTAGTCTAGTCTTTGGCTGACCTCTGCAGACTTTTAGAGAATCATTTTAAGGCATCTTTTTGTTATCTTCTCACCTGTCCAACATCTTCTTATCTATCCAACATCTTCTCACATGTCCAGCATCTTCTTACCTGTCCAACATCTTCTCACCTGTCCAGCATCTTTTTACCTGCCCAGCATCTTCTCACCTGTCCAACATCTTCTCACCTGTACATCTTCTCACCTGCCCATCATCTTCTTACCTGTCCAGCATCTTTTCACCTGCTCAGCATCTTCTTACCTGTCCAGCAACTACTACTGCTCTTTACCATTCCCCTCAGCCTCCAAAAAGAGACAGAGGAAGAAAGTGTGAGATGTTTCTCCACCACCTTTGGCCATGGCATAAAGGGGTATCAACACACGAACTGATCCACACTGTTAAAGATCACAGAGTGTAAAGAAGCATTATCGCCCACGGCTGTCAGCAAGGCACTTGATGATGAATGTTGATTCCATGGGTATAGTAAAGGGGTGTGAAATAAACCATCCTGAGGTGTGCGTGACTTACTCCTTGTTACATTATGCAGCTGAATATTCACAAAGACTTAACAAAAATCGGTATAGTAGTATCCCTGTGTGGGTTCCGGGTCCCATTGTTGAGAAAACTAGAATAGACCCACTGGCTCCCCAACAAGCTTTTGTAGGGAGTTGACTAACTGGAAGCTTCCTTCAAAGTCAGAGTGCGTCTGCCTGAGAGGGAAGGAACCAACAGTCTGCATACAAATAAGTCATATCTGTAAAATAGATGGGCACACAACACACAGGTCCTGGAACAAGACTATAGTCCAGAGGTGGACAAAGAGCCAGAACTTTCTGCTTGAACTTACAGCCGGTAAATGAAGAAGAAGAAGAAGTGTAGTAGATTAGATGTGCAGACGCTTTTACAAAGAAATGTCTTTCCTCTGTTCTGGCCAGGTGATTGAAAGTGGACTACTAGAAAAGTTGACAGATCAGCAAAAGAAAGTGCAGGAGGTAAGTAAAGTTTTGTAGGTAACGTTTTGTAGTTTCTAGGTGTTGTTCAAGAGTAGTAGTAAATGTTATCATGTTGTTGAGTTTCTAGAACCCCTCCTATCCATAAGAGGTTGCTGGGGGTTTTAGAAACTCTACAGTCTTACAGTCCTGTGGAGTAACATTTAAAAACCTTGGCTCTCTCTCTAAATACATATGTATGTATATATATATATACACACACACACACTCTCTCTCTCTCTCTCTCTCTCTCTCTCTCTCCCCTCTCTCTCCCCTCTCTTTCCCCTCTCTCTCTCTCCCCCCTCCCTCTCTCTCTCTCTCCCCCCTCCCCCTCTCTCTCTCTCTCACTCTCTCTGTGTGTGTGCGTGCGTGTGTGTAGATTTAGGCTTGTGCATCAGACTTAGGCTTGTGCATCAGACATAGGCTTGTGCATCAGACGTAGGCTTGTGCATCAGACTTAGGCTAGTGCATCAGATTTAGGCTTGTGCATCAGACTTAGGCTTGTGCATCAGACTTAGGCTTGTGCATCAGACTTAGGCTTATGCATCAGACATAGGCTTCTTGTTTCTGTTATTTCCACAATATTATTGTGTTAACTGCTATCCTTGTCTAATCTAAAGCGCATCCTTTTAGGCAATGTTTGAGATCATCACATCTGAATAACTGTTATCCTTGTCTAATTGAATGCGCATCCTTTTAGGCAATGTTTGAGATCATCACATCAGAAGCTTCCTACCTCAAGTCTCTGAAGGTCCTCATCTCTGTGTTTCTCATGTCACCGGAGTTTTCTGCTGACATGACTGACAGATGTGTCGTCAGCCGTCGGGATAAGCAGGTCCTGTTCTCCAATATTGGACGCATCAAGGACATCAGTGAGGAGTAAGTGACTGCACAGGACGGTGTTTTTTTTTTGTCTTTAGTTCGATAATGTGTTCATGACACTCGTGTCTTACTGCCTGTGTTTACCACTTTTTATGGTGGTGTAGGACAATCCTGGGGATCTAGGGTCGAATGGCTAGCATGATCATCCAGGACTGTGGGTAAAGATTTTTGTGCCCCCCCCCCCCTCACCCCAACCCTCCACAGAAAAATTGATCGCCTTACTAATGATTTGAACCTGGGTCTTCCCTGTGAGTGCCCAGCATTCTCAAACACTCCGCCAGCTGCTCCTTCTGCACACTTTGGATCCCAAATTGCTTTAAATTTGATCCAGGCCTCCAGGTTGGCTTTTGTGGCTTAAAGATTGTGAATGATGTTTCATCATTCTGACTTATCAGATTCGATTAAAGTACAGGCAGTTTGGTATTCTTCATCTTTGCATTCTTCTTCTTCAGTCTATGCCATGTGGCATTAGTAGTCATGTCTGCCCACAGCCTTCTGTCTCATGGACTTTCAATCAACTCTGACACAGATGATTCTCCATGCCATGATGTCAGACTGCCCATAATTTTCTCTCTTGGTCTCCCTCTGCCTCTCCTCCCCTGCAACTTTTCTACCGTCACGATGTACTCCAGTTTTCTCTTTCTCATCACATGACCAAAGAATCTGGATTGTCTGTTTTTGCTGTGGGCAATCGGTTCTCTTTGTGAATCAGTTTCTTTCAAGGCATCCTCATTACTGTTTTTAACTGTCCAGGGTATTCTCATCATTTTTTTTACATTCACCGGCTGTAAACTCCAGCAGACAATTCTGGTTGTTTGTCCACCTCTGGACTTTGGTTTTGTTTCAGAACCTCAGTTTTGCTTACACATCCATTTTACGTATCTGAATTATGTATATGCATATTTTTTTTTACTTGCCTCCCAGGCATATACACTCTAACTATGAATGAAGCCCCCAGTTAGTCCACTCTTATGACATGCTTGTTGACAAGGCAGTGGGTCTGTTCTTGTCTCCTCCCCCCCCCCCCTCCTATATGGGCCGCACAACACACACGGGTCTTTATGTATTGATTTCAACAATGGCCATAGACTGTGATTCCCATTGCATTTCTTCTAGTCCGTGGCATGTGGTGTTGGTAGTCATGTCTATCTACCGCCTTCTGCCCCGTATGCTTTCAGTGAATATTGATAATTCGGTAATCAGTGACAAACTAATGTACATAAAATTGCCTAGTATTTTTCATGTTGCATCTCATGTGAAATCTGTTGGGACTCAAAGAGTTAACGGGTATGTAACTAACTTTTAAAAGTCAGTTCTCAACCACTTTTTGTGTGACACAGCCAGACAGTTTTATTGTACAGGCTAACCTGATGGTCATATCAAGCACCATGGCGGATTAGAAAAAATAATTGCAGAAGGCATGGACCAGGAAGGAGGGGCAGGGACTGACCAGTGCAAAGATGGGCACAGGATATCAGTGACTTCTTGAATATGAAGGTACACAAGGTGGGAGAGCTGGCAAGAGACCCATGTTTCTTTTAGTCAGACCGTGATCTGAGCGACCTTTTGCAAAGGACCTGCTACATGATGATACCTGATGATGATGAGAAATTCCTAATCAACCTCCTTCTCTGTCATATATCTTTGTAGTGGTGTGATCCACGATAATCTCCCCAGCTAAACTAGGTCACGTTCCATTGATACATTTTTTTTACTCGTCTGCTGTCCGGGGGGTGGGTACTGCTATGTTGTCCTTTCTGGCTTGTCTTGCATTTACATTTTTCTTCCAAGAAAGAGAATGCTTGGGACATAGGTTGCAGCCCTTTCTAGGGGGTTGTGCGTTAGACCCAGTTTGTTAGTGTTTTTGTAGTGTTAAAAGTGCTGTCCTGCTTAAATATACAACACACTATATCAACATATTGCCGAACACCCTCTAGCAGAAGGTCGGGTGGCTGGAGGTCGACCAATCAGAAGTGAGCTTGTGTGTAACGTGGGGAGATAATCGTGGATCATACCGCTTTAGTTAGTATGTTCTAACAACGCCACCATTTTTTCTGTCACCAGATTTCTGAAGGACCTGGAAGAGAGGTGGCAGGAGTCTTGTTACATGAATGACATTTGTGACATTATCTATAAACACGCTTCTAATAACTTTGAACCTTACGTCCGGTACTGTGGCAACCAGTCATTTCAGGATCGGGCGCTCAATGAATTAAGGTGAGTTATATCTTCCTCTTCATTTTGCGAGTTCTTCTTTATGGAGCAGAATGCTGGAGAATGACTAAAAAGGATGTACACAAGCTATCCACCTTTCACCACACATGTCTACCTAGAATTATCAAAAGTTTCTGGCCAGATTCAGTTTTAAACACTAAACTACTTCAAGTCTCAAACCAAGAATCGCTAGACAGTATGATAACCAAGAGAAGATGAGCATGGCTTGGCCATATTATGAGAATGAATCCTGATATACCTGCCAAAACAGCTCACACATATATACCAAAGGGAAAGAGAAAAAAGGGGCACCCAAAAAACAACATGCAGACAAATGATGGAAAGTGACCTGAGTGCGGCATCTCTGACATGGAAAAACTGCACTAAAGATTGCACAGGACAGGAAAGCATGGAAAGTCCTCTCTGAAGCCTCATGTGCCACTAGGCATACAGAGAATTGATGATGATAATGATATCTTTCTCTTATTCTTTTATAGTTGAAATGAGTACCAGGTAAAAGAAAGTAAAGGTGGCCGGCTTGATGTTGATCACATCACCAACCAAATGCCAATTGGTTTATAAAATATAGGTCTAGCCCTATGTGCCCAGTATGCATAAAGGCTGGGGAAAGGGTGCTTTTGTGATATGGAGAGGAGGATCTTCATCCCTGGCCTTCATTGGTATCAACTGGACTGTGATTCCCACTGCACTGAGGAACACTGTTTGCTGGAAAGATGTAGACAATCCACCATGAGATTGCCCTTTTTTAACCTTCAGTAACTGAAAGAGACTGATTCTTTGTGTTTCCCTGGGATGGAATTGGGATAGTTCTCCTAACAGAACCTTCATGAAACTAACTGTCTGTGCCTCTCACTTTGTTTCAGGCAAATGTGTGTATAAGTAGGCATGTATGGATGGAGGGATGGATATGTGTATGAATACGTGTGTGAGTGCATGTAAGAGAGTGTGTATGTGCATGTTTTTGAGTGTATGTGATTGTGAATATATGATGTGTAAATGCATTATTTCATTATGTAAAATTTGTATATAGACACAGCATGCATTTTTGATAACGTGCAGTTGTGGTCTGAAAGCTGAGTACTTGGAAGGGTCGAATATAAGACGGGCCTGCGTGCCTATTTTGTAACCCTTTGAAAATAAAGTTTGTTCATTCGTTCGTTCGTTCAGGCAAAATTCAGAGTTTAGTGAGGCGGTCAAGAGACTGGAACAGCACCCAGATTGCCAGTTTCTGCCGCTGTCTTCCTTCCTCCTGCTCCCCATGCAGCGCATCACTCGTCTGCCTTTGCTTGTGGATGCCATCGCTCGCAGGCTGGAGCCTGGCAACCCAGCTCAGATTAGTGTTAAACGAGCTATGGATAGCCTGACGAAGGTGAGAGGGGGAAAACTATTAGTACCACTGTCTTTTATGCCATTGTTTTTTTTTTAAACCAAATTACTCCATTTATTCCTGGCTTGTGGATGCCATCGCTCACAGGCTGAAGCCTGCTAACTCAGCTCAGATTATTGTTGAACGAGCCATGGATAGCCTGACCAAGGTGAGAGGGGGAAAACTATCTAGTCTTTTGTACTGTTTTGTTTTTTTAAACCAAATTACTCCATTGATCCCTGGCATCATGAGGGATAATAGACTGAAATCGCTGGGGCATATTGGGATAACTTCAGATTAAAGAAAGGTTTATTTTTCATTTTTGAGATCATCTTCATCGCACATCGGACATGACCATAATTGCTCCGATCTCCTCCTGAGTATGTCTCCAAGTGTTTTCAGGCTAACAACTCCCATTCTGTTATGGTTGATGTAACGACGGGTGGCCGCCACATGGTTTTCCTGTCTCCCCGCTCCAGTTGTAATATCCAGGGTATGCAGTCTCTTCAGTTAAAAATCATTTTCCACGAAACTGAAAGCCTCACAGCATTTAGTCTCTCGTATGGCATTGATGATGTTTTTCCTATCCATAGAGGGCCCATTCTTGATAGTCACACTGCTAGCCAGAGCATCTGCTGTCTCATTGCCTTTCACACCAGCATACCCTGGGACTAACAGAAATGTGAAAACTGTATACAGAAAGAAGTTGAATGGACGTATTCCTCAAGGCAAATCAAGAAGACGATAGAGAAATATACTCAGGCAGGCCTACAAACACTTGGTGTCACCAACTGGAAAGAGAAGGCCAGCCAGAGAGATGAATGGAGGGGAGTGATATCTGTAGCAATCTACCTCAAGGGCATCAAATGCTGAAGAAGAAAAAATTGCATTTTGTCTCAGTGTATCATTGTATTATCATGTCTCACTTTATATCAGTGTCTCATTTAATGCTGCTGTCTCATTTAATGGTGCTGTCTCATTTTATATCACTGACTCATTTTATATTACTGCCTAATTTAATACTCTAATTCCAATTCCTTTTAGGAAAAAAATCAAAAACAAACACAAACCTGCTGCTAGCTAGCTAGCTAGCCGAAGCTGCCAACAGTCTCCGGCTATATTTGTGGTCTTGTTTATTCGTGGCTAAAGTTCTGGTATTTGCGCCATATCTGGGCTTAATGCCAGGCATATTTCGTAGGAGAGGGAGCTTTTAAACATAACTTCCTTTGGGCCACCATTTATAGTTTTAACATTTTGAGTATTTCACTTTGCAAAAAAAAGTACTGAAATCAGTTTTTGGTTTTGGAAAGATTTGAAATGTGAAAATATTCCCTGTGTGACCATAGTGGTCTTAAAGTTTTGTCTTCTGTTGATTTCACACGTATCTATATACCCATTAATCCTGTAAAAAAAAGTAAAGTAAAGATCCCTTTTCACGCCTTTCGGCGCATCGGGCATATGGGCAGAGCGTCCCATATTTTTACAGACCATCAACACTCTGTGGGTAATGTGGTCAGCATTACGCCGGCTGTCTTTATTTTCCCAGGACAGCCCATCCTGGTACCCATTTTAGGCTGGGTCGACCTGCGACGTCCCATACCACGATAAAAATCCACGCAGCCTGCAGTAGGTTTCGATCGCGGTATGCTGGCTTACGAGTCGGTCTCGCAACGCCTTAGCCACGGACGCCACACATTCATCCTGTAGTCCCATGCAAACAAATTACTTATGGATCCCCGGAGTGTATGGTTGCAGACAACAAGATGTGAGCATCCGTACATCCAAGTCTCCTCATCCACACAGACGGTGGGTGGTTAGGGGTAATTTAATACTGTAACAGGAAGCAAATGGATGATTAAGTAAGGATGTCCAAGTGAACCACACCATGAAAGTTTAGAAAGACCAGTGGTGTTGATAAGACTCGGTAAGGGACATCAGAAGAAGTTGCTTGAGATAGATCACAATGGAGGAATAGACTCTGGGCACCGTGTTTTATAACTGGTATGCAATTTAATGATCTTAGGTAGCAAAGCGTTGTGACGACGCAGCCAAGAAGATGCAGCAGACAGAACAGATGTGCATGCTGGCTGCAAACCTGGAGTTTAAGGTCAAGGTAAGTGTCAAACTTTTAAAATCTTTATAAACAAAAATTTTGTATTGATATACCCTCATGTGGGTTCCGGAGACCTAATGTGTTAGGAGACCCATTGCCTCCCTAATAAGCATATCTTTAGAATAGATTGATTAGGTGTCTTCTTTGAAGTCGGAGTGCATCTGCCTGAGAGACAAGGAACCAACAGTCTGTGTACGAAGAAGCCAGATTTGTAAAATAGATGAGCACGCAAAACTCTGAAACAAGATTAAAGTCCAGAAGAGGAGGAACAACCAGAACTTTTCACCGGTGTTTAGCAAGTGAATGAGAAGAAGAAATATAAGACAATATGATAAAGTTTCAGTTATATAGTAACCTGACTTTGTACAGTTGTACTCTAAAGATGGTGTGCCTTATTTTAGGTTTCTTTAAATATGTGACATGAAAGCATTGTTGTTATAAAATGGTTTCCCTGGGTGAAGTTATCTTATGTAATACTTAATGTCTAAATAAGGACATTTAAAATGTGGGTACAATTCAATTAGATGACCCCAAACAAGGGAAATCCGAGAAACCCCAGTCCAGTCCACTATTCTAGGGGTATTATGACATGACTTTGTTCCGTGTTCACACAAAGTGCGGAAAAGTGTGCTTGTGCACCAGGTGGAAAGAAGCGAAATTTCTTCACAAACTGTTGTGCAAAAGTTGTGCGGGAAATTGCAGGTGGGTTTAGGCAAGAAAGGACGATGTATGAGAGGAGGAAGGGTACGACAACATGTGTACAGTCAGTGTGCTACCTACTGGACCAGTCAGCAGCAGTAGCATCTTTAAACCTCCAGGCATCTACTTTGTGGAAACAGAGCATTCTATGGGTGTATGCTCTTATTTGGATTGTTTAGTACTATTTAAATAGTTAAATCACTATTTTTTTCATAAATGAGAGATAATGCCATAATTTGAAAAGAATTAAATTACATCAGAAACGCTAAACACTTAGATAATTCAAACAACGGGATCCCCGAAATGCATTTCCAGGTTTAAAAAAAGGCAAGCATGCCATCTTTCATTATCTACTCGACTCCCCCAGTAAAATACCCAGGATGTTTTGAAGGGGCTATAAAATGCCTCTCAATTGATCCTGCGATCTTAAAGTCATGGCTTCTTGCTGAACGCCTTGTGTGTCATGATAGCTGCTGACAAAACGTTTCTTCTATGTCTCACGGTTTATAATTTTTTAAATGCCCGCTTTTACAAATTAGCTCTAAGGGGGTTTTACTGTGACCCATTATATAAGACTGGGTCCACCCAGAGACCCCCACTGGTAATTAAAGTCCACCCACCCGTCAACACCTCAAGAGTATTATAGATTAAAACACAATTTTATTTATGCAGATTATCGCAACAGACCTTCCCCCCACTTCATTTCTGCTCCCCTTTGCCACCAAATTTCTATGGAAATATTTTCTCTGAACGCAAAAGGTTAAAGTGCATGAAATTCCGATTACCCCTGACACTAGCGGCAGGTCAAAGAACACACACACACACTGAGAATGATGACATAAAGCAACCAAAAACCCACACTCTGAGAATGATGATGTCATAAACGCTGACAACAACACAGTAGATAACACCCCTAGAATAGTGGACTGGATTGGGCTTTTCTAGATTTCCCTTGTTTGGGGGTCGTCTAACTGAATTATACCATTATGTCTCATGAGCAATTTTCTTATCAAGTTTCATATTTTGTATACACATTTTGTTATTTCATCAGTACTAAAAGTCCAGTCTTTCCATCTTCTCTTTCTCCTCACCATTGTCCAACTATTCTTTTTCTTTCCATCGTTAATCACATGTTTGAAATATAAAACACCTGCAGCATGAAATTTACAGTAAAATTAAATTTTTATTTTTTATTTTTCTAGGAATTCCCGCTGGTATCTGCCTCAAGATTTTTGGTAAAGCAGGGGGAGTTAACTCTGATCAAACACGAAGGTACCAGTCGTAAAACCCTCAGTAAATTGCTCGGTTCCAGCAAAGAGCATGTTCATCTGTTTCTGTTTAATGACCTTCTGCTAGTCACAAAAAAGAAAGGGTAAGTACTGGTTTTTTTTTTTCACTTTCAGCTAACAAGCACTTATTTTGTCCTGTTTAGTATATTCTTTTACTTTCTTGTCCAGAATCATGGGGAAGTACGTAAATAGTTACTACTAACTTTCATTAATTTGTACCTGCCAAATGGACGGAATAAAATAGCATGACAAAATCACTAGCATCGGGCTTTCGGAGAGATCTGAACAAACTCTAGCATGTAGAACATTAAATTAAGAATCGACATCACAGCTCTCGGGACACCCCCATAAACGCTCCATCCCCATCTTCAGCAGCAATTGAAGAGTTAAAATTCTGATGGTACCAGTAACTGTCTGATCCTCCAGCATATAAAGAGGGAGAAAAGGACATACTGAAAGGATGGACACATTGAGAAAACCTGATAACTAGAATGTACCAGGGGCATCTACAATTTTTACAGTAGGAAGGAACATGAGGGTGTTGTACTTTCCTTGTCCCTTGCATAAAAGTAAAGGGCCTTTTTGCCATTTTGCATGGAAGTCATACTTCTGTACAGTACCTAATTATGAAATAATATACAATTATGGGGTATCCTCTGTTAGCTTATCATTTTACTTTGATATTTATTTTTTAAAATAAAAAAAAAATAAAAACATCAGGGTAGGCTTATCTGTTGTCCCTTCTCTTCCTTAGCAACACTTTCCATAATTAAAAAATATCAGGGTAAACTTATCTGTTGTCACTTCTCTTCCTTAGCAACACTTTCTATATCAATTAAATATCAGGGTAGACTTATCTGTTGTCACTTCTCTTCCTTAGCAAAACTTTTTGTAACATAAATATCAGGGTAGACTTATCTGTTGTCACTTCTCTTCCTTAGCAACACTTTTCGTAACATAAATATCAGGGTAGACTTATCTGTTGTCACTTCTCTTCCTTAGCAGAACTTTTCAAAACATAAATATCAGGGTAGACTTATCTGTTATCACTTCTTTTCCTTAGCAACACTTTCCATAACATAAACATCAGGGTAGACTTACCTATTGTCACTTCTCTTCCTTAGCAACACTTTCCATAACATAAACATCATGGTAGACTTACCTGTTGTCACTTCTCTTCCTTAGCAAAACTTTTAGAAAAGATAAATATCAGGGTAGACTTATCTGTTATCACTTCTCTTCCTTAGCAAAACTTTTGAAAACATAAATATCAGGGTAGACTCATCTGTTGACACTTCTTTTCCTTAGCAACACTTTCTATAACAATTAAAAATCAGGGTAGACTTATCTGTTGTCACTTCTCTTCCTTAGCAACACTTTCCATAACATAAATATCATGGTAGACTTACCTGTTGTCACTTCTCTTCCTTAGCAAAACTTTTCGTAACATAAATATCAGGGTAGACTTATCTGTTGACACTTCTTTTCCTTAGCAACACTTTCTATAACAATTAAAAATCAGGGTAGACTTATCTGTTGTCACTTCTCTTCCTTAGCAACACGTTCCAGGTCAGAGACTACTGCCATCGCAATGCCCTGCACTTTGAAGCCCTGGACAGCATGGATAAATCCCGGCATCAAGCTCTGGGGGTACTGACGGGGATCGCCAATGTTCTCTTCCTGGCCATGTTGGCTAATCATGAGAACAAGCAGGTGGAAATGGTGCTGTCCTGCAAGTCTGAGTAAGTCTGTTGTCCATCTGGGGGAGATTTAATTTTGGCTATATCTGAAGATGTGACTTGACAGGTGAAGAAAAGATGCTGGTGATAGATAGGACGCATGTTTAGAAAATGAGAACGGTATAACTAGAATGTCTTTGCACTGGAATGAACAGGGGCATAGAAATAGAGGCAGACCAAAAAACGCCTGGAGAAGGGAGCTAGAGAATGAAGTTACGAAGATGGAGTGGGCTGCATGCTGTAGCAAAGGATAAGTCAACTTGGAGTGAGTTGGTTGAGGACCTAAAAAACACCCAGGAGACGGATGAGACAGATATACAATTCGACAGTTACTTGGACCTTCCGAATTGGAACTTTCGCTTGCTGCGGAGGATGGGGACTGAGCAGTTATAGGAGTGTCCCAAATGTTGTGATGTCGATTCTTAATTCAACATACAACATTCAGAAGAAAAAAATGAATGAATTTCTTCTTCTTCTTCTTCTTCTTCATTCTTTGACTATAAGCTCCGGCAGGAAGTCCTAGTTGTTCGTCCATTTAGACTTTGGCTGTGTGCCAGAACCTGAGTTTTTCGTGTACATCCATTCAACTGGCTTATTTGTGTGCAGTTGGTTGCCCCTTGCCGCTCGGTAGATGCACTCCTACTTCAAAGGAAGTTCCTAATTAGTTAAATTCTACGACAAGCTTGTTGGGGAGACGGGGGGTCTCTTCCTATTTTTCCTACAGTGGGTCTTCTTATTTTCCCTACAGTGGGTCTTCTTATTTTCCCTACAGTGGGTCTTCTTATTTTCCCTACAGTGGGTCTTCTTATTTTCCCTACAGTGGGTCTTCTTATTTTCCCTACTGTGGGTCTTCTTATTTTCACTACTGTGGGTCTTCTTATTTTCCCTACTGTGGGTCTTCTTATTCTCCCTACAGTGTATCTTCTTATTTTCCCTACAGTGTATCTTCTTATTTTCCCTACAGTGTATCTTCTTATTCTCCCTACAGTGTATCTTCTTATTTTCCCTACAGTGTATCTTCTTATTTTCCCTGCAGTTTATCTTCTTATTCTCCCTACAGTGTGTCTTCTTATTCTCCCTACAGTTGGTCTTCTTATTCTCCCTACAGTGTGTCTTCTTATTTTCCCTACAGTGTGTCTTCTTATTTTCCCTACAGTGGGTCTTCTTATTCTCCCTACAGTGGGTCTTCTTATTCTCCCTACAGTGTATCTTCTTATTCTCCCTACAGTGGGTCTTCTTATTTTCCCTACAGTGTATCTTCTTATTCTCCCTACAGTGTATCTTCTTATTTTCCCTACAGTGGGTCTTCTTATTCTCCCTACAGTGTATCTTCTTATTTTCCCTACAGTGTATCTTCTTATTCTCCCTACAGTGTATCTTCTTATTCTCCCTACAGTGTATCTTCTTATTTTCCCTACAGTGTATCTTCTTATTTTCCCTACAGTGTATCTTCTTATTCTCCCTACAGTGTATCTTCTTATTTTCCCTACAGTGTATCTTCTTATTCTCCCTACAGTGGGTCTTCTTATTCTCCCTACAGTGTATCTTCTTATTTTCCCTACAGTGTGTCTTCTTATTCTCCCTACAGTGTATCTTCTTATTTTCCCTACAGTGGGTCTTCTTATTCTCCCTACAGTGTATCTTCTTATTTTCCTTAAAGTGGGACCCCCAGAAGTGACACGGGATTTTTTATGAATTTAATGGTAACCTATGTAAAATTGTGTTTTGTTGTGTTTTTTTTTATATAAAGTGGTCCCGGAGTATAACGGGTAAAACAAAACTACATGAAAAAGGGCAAGAAAAACATTGCTTGCAATTAATGTTGTGTTTGCAGGAGTGAAAGGACCCGCTGGATTGATGCCATCATGCCTGCGCAGACAACATCGGACAATGAGAGGATTTATGATTATTGGGGTAGGTTTTTGCTCATCTGTGATACTTATGTTCTTGTCACTATTGATTTGATTTTATTTTGTTTGTATTTCACGCTGATCAGTTTTATTTGATTTCTTAACACATTCAGTTATGTCCCTTGTCTGTGTGTACAACAACTCAACTCTGTGTGTACAACTCAACTCAACTCTGTATGTACAACAACTCTGTGTCTTTATACTATAATTAAAGTACGTGTTATGCCATAAGTTTCCGTGCAAAGAAAAAATTAAGATTTTTTAAGAAAGCAATTTTTATATATATAATTTACTGTACATGAATGACGTTGTTTTGAGAACACATTTAATTAGCTTACTTCTTGTCCTTTTTAGGATGAAATTTTTTGTTTTTTGAAGCCCTACTCTGGCTCTTGGCAGGGCCCGCAATGTAGCCTGGCCATAAATATGGCATAAAGGCTGATTGCGGTATCTGGGACCTCTCCACAGTGATCCTCACCCATATGGTGGCACTTTGTGTCATGGAGTGTTTATCGATTGTGAAATGTCCTGGTGGGGTAGAAAGTCAAGTCAGTCAGAACACATTTTGATGCATGTTCTTAACTGCCAAAGAATATGTATAAGCCCAGCTGAAAGCTGGAATTGTGCTTGTAGGTAGTTGCACCCCACCAGGACATCACACAAGCGATAAACACCCGGTGACACAAAGTGCCACCATGTGGATGAGGATCACCCATGGAGAGGTATCAGCAACCCCTTTCAGCCGTTACAGCCATGTCTATGGATGGCCTAGGCCATATTTATTGTCCAGCTATATTCAGGGCCCCCTGCAGAAGCCTTGGTGGGGGCTTCAGATAACAAAAAAGTGCATCCCACATGGGGATGACTGTAAGCTTTTGTGCTTGTAACGGCGTTGATATTTTTATTTTTCCTTTGTATAGAAACTTATGGGACACTCTATAGTGCTGTGCTATTCAACTAAGTTCACTCAGGGGCCACTACTCTGAAAATGAGAATTGACCTGGGCCAAAGGCCAGAGCTCCCACGTAGAAATGTCTTTAATATAGTACAACTGGCAATGATCCAGGGGACCATTTGTTAGGTCTCTGAGGGCCAGCTCTGGCCCGCAGGCCGCCAGTTGAATATCTCTTGCTGGGGTATATAGTACATCCTCTACATCAGAGCTGTTCAACTAAGTTTACTCTGGAGCCAAAATGTTCAAAATAGGGATTGTCACATGCCAGAAGCCCCAACCCTAGCATAGAAAGATCAGTAAAACAAAACAATTGCCAATGACTAGTGGGCCGGTAGCTAGGCCTCTGAGAACGATCAGTAAAACAATACATTTGCCAATGACTAGTGGGCCGGTAGCTAGGCCTCTGAGAACGATCAGTAAAACAATACATTTGCCAATGACTAGTGGGCCAGTAGCTAGGCCTCTAAGAAAGATCAGTAAAACAATACATTTGCCAATGACCAGTGGGCCAATAGCTAGGCCTCTGAGAACGATCAGTAAAACAATACATTTGCCAATGACTAGTGGGCCAATAGCTAGGCCTCTGAGAACGATCAGTAAAACAATACATTTGCCAATGACTAGTGGGCCAGTAGCTAGGCCTCTGAGAAAGATCAGTAAAACAATACATTTGCCAATGACTAGTGGGCCAATAGCTAGGCCTCTGAGAACGATCAGTAAAACAATACATTTGCCAATGACTAGTGGGCCAGTAACTAGGCCTCTGAGAAAGATCAGTAAAACAATACATTTGCCAATGACTAGTGGGCTAATAGCTAGGCCTCTGAGAACGATCAGTAAAACAATACATTTGCCAATGACTAGTGGGCCAATAGCTAGGCCTCTGAGAAAGATCAGTAAAACAATACATTTGCCAATGACTAGTGGGCCAGTAGCTAGGCCTCTGAGAAAGATCAGTAAAACAATACATTTGCCAATGACTAGTGGGCCAGTAGCTAGGCCTCTGAGAAAGATCAGTAAAACAATACATTTGCCAATGACTAGTGGGCCAGTAGCTAGGCCTCTGAGAAAGATCAGTAAAACAATACATTTGCCAATGACTAGTGGGCCAGTAGCTAGGCCTCTGAGAAAGATCACTAAAACAATACATTTGCCAATGACTAGTGGGCCGGTAGCTAGACCTCTGAGAACGATCAGTAAAACAATACATTTGCCAATGACCAGTGGGCCAGTAGCTAGGCCTCTGAGAAAGATCAGTAAAACAATACATTTGCCAATGACTAGTGGGCCAATAGCTAGGCCTCTGAGAACGATCAGTAAAACAATACAATTGCCAATGACTAGTGGGCCGGTAGCTAGACCTCTGAGAACGATCAGTAAAACAATACATTTGCCAATGACCAGTGGGCCAGTAGCTAGGCCTCTGAGAAAGATCAGTAAAACAATACATTTGCCAATGACTAGTGGGCCGGTAGCTAGGCCTCTGAGAAAGATCAGTAAAACAATACATTTGCCAATGACCAGTGGGCCAATAGCTAGGCCTGTGCAGGCCAGATGTGACCCACGGGCCGCCAGTTAAATAGCCCTGCCCTACATCATCATAAATGTTGCTCCGTGCTGTGTATGGTACACATCTATTAATTCTTCTTTTCTTCTCTGCATTCACCAGCTGTAAACTTTGGTGGAAAGTTCTGGTTGTTCGTCAACTTCTGGACTGCAGTCCTGTTCCAAAACCTGAATGTTGCATGTGCTTCTGTTCGACAGACCTGACACATTTGTGTGCATACTGTTGGTTCCTTGCCTCTCAGGCAGATGCACTCCGACTTTGGAGGAAGCTCCCAATTAGTCGACTCTTACGACATGCTTTTGGGTAGGCAGTGGGTCTATTCTTGTTTTCCCTATAATAGGGCCCTGGAACCCACACGGGGGATCGACTAATTCAGTTGTAGAATTTAATTTTGCTGCCTAGAAGATGGGGCCAAAACTGAGCCCTCAGTTTTTATTGTAGTTTTGTTACCTTCATTGGTTCTGGATATCCACTGAGGATAGCTGCTGAAGATTGGGACTGAGCATTTATGGGTGTGTTCCGAGTGCTGTGATGTCGATTCTTAATTCAGCATTCAACATCCACAGAGGGAGGGGGAATATCTCCACTGCTGCCCCCCCCCCCCTTCCAACAAGCATGTTGTATTGGGTAACTAATTAAGGGTGTTTCCTTTGAAGTCGGATTGCATCTGCCTCATAGTTGAGAAACTAACAGTCTGCATACAGTTGAGCCAGATCTGTAAAATGGATGTGCGCACAATCTCAAGTTATGGAACAAAACTGAAGTCCAGAATTGGATGAACGGCCAGAACTTTTCAACCAGAGATTACAGCCACTGGACACTGAGAAATAGAATAAGGTGTTTTTTTTTGGGGGGGGGGGGGGAAACCTGAACTGTTTCTATTAATGTCCTTCCTGTCAGTTAGAAAGTGGAGTATAATTGTGTGATACATTGCCTGGATGGTACAGTCTAGTGCGACGTTCATTACAGGGGGCCGCAGTTAAATAACATTAAATAGAAAGAAGGTTGCTGTCCTATGTGACTTTTAATTTTAAAAAAAGGGGTACAGTTGCGTCATATTAGAGATGGGAACAGTCAGAAGAGTACAATCTAGTGTGACATTCCTTACTTAGGTTTGGAGTACAATCAGCAGACGTTTGGGTTTTTTTTTTTTTTTTTTTTTTTTTTTTTAAATGGGAACAATCAAGATACATTCAACTGAGACCTAATTTAATTTTTTCAGCTTTTTATTTTTTTTTAAATATTGCAATGCTTTGGAAAGAAAAATAGTAGAGGGCATAGTACCAGGGAAGAGAGGCAGGGACCAGCCACTCTGAAAGTAAACCTAAAACAGGAAAATGCATGAGCTGTCAATTGAAAGAATTTCTTTCAGATGGGCTGTAATGGGAGCGACAATCTCTAAATACCTTCTATATATTACAATGAGTTAATAAAATTGAACAATCGAATGTCACGTTATTTGTAAAGGTAAGTATGGTTTGGCATTAGATAAACAGTTGAGTGAGGTATTAGACTATGCTATTTAGTTTGACATAAAGTAGAGAATTAAGTCCTATGACATTAAACAGATATGCAGTCTACTTTGGTATTAAATAAAATGTGACATTACATTGAAAGGTTGATATAATCTTGTCCGAAACTGAGCGAAATGGGCGATATAATCTTGTGTGAATTAAAATGCACCAATCACTTAGACTTAATCATATCTAGGAAAACGCACAACACATATACCTACTAAATACTGTGGTTAAATCTAATTAAAACTGCAATTAAAATGTTTTCTCCTTATTTTATCAAATCTTCTTTTATCTTTCTTTTCATCAGTCATGTAATCTTATATTTCCTATTATCAATAATAATTTGTTTGCAGAAGAGAAAAATGAAACAGTGTAGAAACCATTGGAAGAAAATAAATAAGAATAGCAAGAAAAGGTTCAATTTGTCTGTGTTTTTGTGTGTGAAATACTATGGCTATGGTTTGCAACAGTTTCTTGACTCTTCCACCACCCCCCGGTTAATTGCTTACCTGACCTTTTATCATTACTTCCCTCACCCTCCGGTTGATTGCTTACCTGACCTTTTATCATTACTTCCCTCACCCTCCGGTTGATTGCTTACCTGACCTTTTATCATTACTTCCCTCACCCTCCGGTTGATTGCTTACCTGACCTTTTATCATTACTTCCCTCACCCTCCGGTTGATTGCTTACCTGACCTTTTATCATTACTTCCCTCACCCTCCGGTTGATTGCTTACCTGACCTTTCATCATTACTACCACTATATTTTTATGCTGTATTCCTTGTTTGTTTGTTTTTTTGAGTGCAGAATAAAAACTTTTCTCTGACAATCACTTTAAAACAATATCGTTTTTTTTTTTTTTTTTTTTACAAATGTACTTCCAAGACACACACACAAACGAGGAAAGACAAAATACAAAATCAGACGAATGCCAGGAATAAAGCCAGTCTTACAGGTCATCA